CCATCCAGCTCCCTGTTTGTGACCTGGGAAAGCAGTCGAGGATGGCCCAATGCTTTGGGACCTGCTCCCGTGTGGGAGACCTGGAGGAGGTTCCTGGCTCCTGGCTTTGGATTGGCACCGGCCATTGTGCTCACTTTGGGGAGTGAATCATTGGACGGAAGATCTTCCTCTCTGTCTCTCCCCCTGTATATATATCTGACTTTGTAATAAAAATAAATAAGTCTTTAAAAAAGAAAAGAAAAGAAATAGTTCAGCTGCAAAGCCCAGACACTCCATCCAGGTCTCTTCTACATGGATGGTAGAGGACCAAGCCAATGAGCCATGTTCTGTTTTTTTCTCCCAAGCATATTAACAGGGACTGATTGGAAGTGGAGCAGACAAGGCTTGAATTGGGCCCTGTTACTTTCCTTTAAATGACTGATATGTTTAGACTGAAAAATGTTCAATCAATGTTAGCTGTTATTAATATTAATGCTGATAATAACTATTATCCAAAAAATCAAGGAAGGATGTACAGTTTCAGAAAAATTTAGATGTTGTAGCATTAAGCTAGAGCTATAGATTTTGGAATTTCTCAACTGGAAAAAAATTGAGATATCTCACTATTAAAAGTTGTCTGATAAAGATGTTCCAGGATGGGCCCAGCATGGTAGCCTAATGGCTAAAATCCTCGCCTTGCATGTACTGGATCCCATATGGGCGCCAGTTCAGATCCCGGCTGTTCCACTTCCCATCCAGCTCCCTGCTTGCGGCCTGGGAAAGCAGTCGAAGACGACCCAAAGCCTGAGCATGTCCAGGTACTTCAGTGATATGCCAGTTTATAGGAGGAGAGGCTGTTGCTTTAGAAGAGAGCAACACCAGTGACCCACACTACTTCCTGGGTGTGTGTTTTCAGACTTAGCAAAATACAGTGATTCTAGTGAATCTACTAAGATAATATAATTTTGTTTAATTTTGTAAGGAATACAAGAAATGCAGGATAATTCCCCATTTTGACATCTGTTTATCCATAAAGTTTTGATTATGGGCAAACAAAGCAAAATGACTGAAAAGTGTCTCATTGAAAAGTACATTGCAGAGAGTAGTGGACGTATTATTCAACTACCAGAACCAGACAACTGTGTCTCCAAAAGGTGCAATGTCTATCAGCAGCAGAATTTAAAGCCAAATCTATTATATACATATCAAATACTTGCTTTGCCTTTTTAAATATATAGAATTTTAAGTTATATTATCACTGGAATTCAAGGAGAAAAATGTATATACACTGCAATATATTTGCTAGAAATATTGATTGCCAGGAAGGCTCCATTAATTAATTATGATCTAAAATATTTTACTAAGGATTTAAAAATTGTATAAGACATCCTCATTTTCACATGTTTAATTTTGATTCCTAATACTTTTGCAGTTTTAGTTTTTCTGAAATATATTAATTTAGTTTCTGAAGATTTATATAAAGGTGTTCTCTGTTCTAGTCTTTTATCCACAATGCTTTAATGATGGTATTTCATTAGTAGCACAAAACGTACCAAGTCTTTCTAAAAATGGCTTAAATATAACTGGAACTAAAAATGTGTATATATTTATATAGATGGAACTAAGAAATTTATAAGGCATGATGTGTTGCTTTATGCATTTACGTGTAATAAGCAATAGAAAATGTGTCACCAGATCAACTTTGTTTTTCCTTTTCTTCATTAGAGATTACTAGTAGATTACATTTTAAAATATGGGTACTCAGCTCAGTGAATAAGGGACAGTATATGGGAAATTGTCAAAAACTTTACATCTGCTTTGATGTGATAACGTATCTTTGACATATGAATATTAAATATAAATGTTAGTCTAATAGAGACAAAGTTGCTTAATTTGATTCTTAACTTGCTTATCTGTGTCAGTCCTAAATTTGAATGAAAGTTGTTAAAATACTATTTTTCCTATACTGTCTTGGAGAAATTATATAAAAATATAAATAATATACTAACATTATTGCCACATGTTCTTACAGATGAAAATGATAATATTGAGATAGATACTAATGAGGAGATTCCTGAAGGCTTTGTTGTAGGAGGTGGAGATGAACTTACTAACTTAGAATATGACCTTGACACTTCCGGTAATTTCAAGTTATAAATGTTTTGTGTCCTGCTGCATGGTGTACTTTATGGTTTTGTTCTCTCGTCAAGAATGAGTCCATCTTTCTAGTTTTGCTAAATTCATACCTTCTTAAGTCATTTAGTTAAATCCATCATTCATCAATATCATTTTATTTTGCATTGCATGATGAAACTAATAGTAACATTGTAATAGGAAGTTGCAGCTTGTGTTCTTTTATTACTAAGATTCACTGTTATATTTTGTTATGTGAAATACTTTATTCGGTAATTGATTCCTGTTAAGCTGAAATATTTTGTTGTAAATGTGTGAAGTGTAGGTGGAATTCCTATGGTATACTCCAAATGTAAGTACAAGCCATAGATCAGATATTCTGATATAGTTTAGAATTGATAATTTAGGCTCTAATATTATTTGGTAAATTTTGTGCTTAAATATTCCTACCATTACTTACATACTTAGTAACCAATTGCAATAAGATACTTTAAAACTACTTATAAAGTCTTTTTTTAAACTAATCTTGTATCAGTAAATCACATTGTCAATTGAGTCTTGTAAGTATATAAAGATATTTGATGGTGGTTCTTAATAGGTGTGAGAGCTCCAGATACATTGCTTTTAGAAGCCAGCAGCAAATAGCCATCCCAAAGCTTTGTACCAGAGAAGTTCGGTAAATGAGTATTGAATTTGGCAATGAAAACTCTTCAGAAATCTCTGTAGATTTGGAAGTAACAAGTCAAAATCTATTATCAGTATGTTTCTAGGGAGAAAAAAAAATGCTTTAAAGAACAGCGTTCTTTTTCCCATTCATGGCATACACCTGCAAAGCTAATTAATTTTATTTTTCCCCTATTTGAAATCATGCTGTTACTTCTCCAGAAAACAGTTGACCATGCTTTTCCTGATCGTAAAGAACATCCCAGAAATCCTTTTGCCAATAGCTCCTTCATGGCCCAGTATTAAATTATACTGTTGTTACATAGAGGTCAGTATGTTTGTAACTATGCAAGTCCAAGAGAGTGCTTGGAGAGATGGCGAGATTTATGGAAATTTTAAAATTTTTAATCCCAAATTAGAACCAATTTGTCCTTTTTTCAATTTACAATAATGTAGAACTTGTATGATTTGAATTTTAAAAAAGGTTGTTGTTTACCTGCCCACCAACCAAAACTTCCAGCTAAAGCTTTTCTTAAAAATCTGTAGCATCTCCTTAATGCTAAGGGAATAAGTACTGAACTGAAGCTTTTACATTCAATTTATAGAAGTATTAAAATCAGTGACAGTAAGTGATGCATATATTCTTATTTTACAGCAGATTATAACAATGAGGGAAATTTCCTACTTTGAGCAGTAGAAACTTTGTGAGATACTTCAAAGATTGGTTCATTTTATCTTGACTCTGGTTCATTTTATCTTGACTCATGTGTTTTTAAAAACTCTTCCTACTTTGTTTATTACAGTAAGAACACATATTTACACCTTCCTGTTTGGAATAAATTATTCTATTGCTTACAGCTCCCAAGCATGCCAGTTGGTATTGACATGTATATAGACAGGGTTCCCAGTTGATATCTGTGGTTATTTCATCTCACTAAGAAATAGGAATTCAAAGTAGAATCTGAAAGCACGTAGAATGTCTTATGACTTTTTCCTTGCTTTATTTTCCCCAAAATTCTTTTTTTAATATGTATATAAAAGTCATAATGTTTTAATAATAAATTGTATAATCTTCATCTTGATTTGACCATGGTTCATCAGATATTGTTTAAAAAAGAAGCCTAGCAATATAAACTAGCCAATTTGCATGAAAGTAATGATAATAGCATTTATTATGAGTCTTATAATTAGAAAAGTTATTAATCTTTATGAAAAATATCATTCACCAAATGGTTGGCATATCTTTTATAATCATTTTATTAAGGAATTGCTTTGTGTGAATTAAATAGAAATATTTTGTTCTCACTTGTTTCTCTACTTTATTGCTATAGACTAATATACTTGATAAAAATAACTCAGAAGTTGTTTATTTAAAAAACTCTTAGCCACTATCCTATTGTATATTTCTACTTGTATTTATACATTTCAAAAAACATTGTGCTTGTATTTCTGCCATCTGTGCAGAAAGTATATGTGTAAACATGTGTCCTGCTTCAGTGGCGGCTGTATACATGTATACGTGGGCATTGAATGCTAATGGTCTGTATGTGAATGTCTGAGATACATGTTAAGAAAGAGCTTCTTTTAATATGTATGTTTTTCTGAGAATGAACTCCTGTTGGCTGCTTCAGTCTTCAGATACCTACAGAAGGCAAGACAAGGCCAGGCTGAAGTTTGGAGCCAGGAATTCATTCCCAGTCTCCACCATGAGTGGCTGGGACCCAGCTACATGAGCCTTATAACCTGCTACCTCCCAGCTTCTGCATTAGCAGGAAACTGGAATCAGGAGCTAGTGCTGGGAATCAAACCTAGGCACTCCAGTATGGAACAGAGACATTTTAACCAGCCTCTTATTCTCTAGGCCAAATGCCTGCCCTCATAAAAGCTGTTTCAACTGCATGTAACCTTTGTAATGATTTATATAAATATATATAAGAAATCTTCAAAAAGCTTATGGAACATCCGTATTATTAAAAATCGCACATAAATACCAATTGTTTTTTTCATCAAGGTGAATTTCTCCTTTTGTTTTCTAAACACTTCTTGAAGTCTCGTGTATCACATACAGGCTGCATGTGTCTAATATGATTAGTTATTTCAAAACCCTCATATCTTTTCCTTTTTTGAAATATAATATTTTATATCACCTACAAATGATATCTATATATGTGTATGTATACATACCCATCTCATTCAGTTTTTCATGGTATTTGTATATTTTACAGAACAAAATAGTAAGCTGGTGGACTTGAAGAAGCTCCTAGAACCTCAGCCACAAGTTGCAAATTCACCCTCCACTGATGCCCAGAAAACTGTAACTGAGAGCTCAGAGCAAGACATTAAGGTAATTCTTACTTTTAAAAGCACTTAGCTCCATATCTTTATATTCCAGTTTCTGCTAGCCCCTTACAGTCTTAAAAAGTTTCCTCCCTAACTCTTCGCTCTAAAATTAAGATCTAAAACTTTTTGTTAGATAACCAGTAATTAAATATCCACATGGAAATCAAACTTCATATTCAGTTTTTCAGAGATACCACTGTTTCAGAGTACTATTTTGAATAAAAGTCCCATAAAACTTATGATGTCTGTATAAACTGTATATTTTGCCAAGAAGAATATTTCTAAAAGAACTTTGGCATTTTTCTGTTACCTTCATTTTTTTATCTGTTTAGATAGATGCAAAGTTCTGCTATTTTCATGAATACAGTTTACCTAGAGATAATGATGTGATTGAATGTATTTAAGATACTTGCATATGTTTTGGTCATTGTGACTGTTACCTTGTTTAACACTTAGCAGAAATGTCTCATTTTAACATTAGTTTATATTATATTCTCCACACACCACCACCACTTATTACCCTTCTCCCTTTCTACACCATGTATCATTAGTATTTCTCTAGCTTTAGGGCACTTCCAGTCCTGTATAACTTTTCACCCACCTGCGGACTATGGGGACTGCCCTGCTGACTGAAAGGATTTCCTTCCCCTGACACAGAGATGCTTTGAAGTCTCAAAACAATGACTTTCATTGCTTTTCCCGTATATTGTCGGTTTCTATAAATTGGTGATGAAAGTGTGTGGCAGCTCCAGAGGACTTTGGGTCTCTATCTTTGAACAAAAGGAAGCCTGGATCAGGTCTGGTTTTTTGCGTTCAATTTAGCTTTCTGCAGTGGATTTAATGCAGAATGAAGCTGGACTAAGAATAATACAATGGATTGAAAAGGCTAACTGAATTAGTGGGTTTAGAGGAATACATTTGTAAAGTGGCAGAAGTCCCTAGTCATAAAAAGGTTTCTTAAGATGGGATTTGCTGGCTAATCGCACTGATTTTTTAACATGTTGCCAGGCCTTAAAAAAAAATTTAGCTGTGTTTGTTTATTTTGGTAAAGACTTGAGTTTTAGACTATTAGATGGGTATAATAGTAAAATTTGTGCTTTTAAGAAAAGTTTAACAAGTACATATCTGGGATATTATAAGCATTATGTTGATGGGATGTGTGTGTGTGTTTACACTAGATAACTCAAAAAGGCACTTCCATTTTGATTTAATCACATACTTAGATTAAATTGCTTTTGCTTCCCTAGACATCTCTTATGTAATAATTTTTAAAGTTATTCCAACAAAAGCATGTTTTAAACAGATTGTCTTTATGAATCTTTTCATTTATGGTTTTGAAAATGCTTATAATGAACATATCGAGTCCATCTGTTCTCTTGAAGCTTTCAGCATTGATTTGGGTTTTTATTTATTTTTTAAATAAAATGCAGTTTACACGTCTATAAATGAGGCATTCTGTGTTTGTGGAAAAGGATAAACTGTTACCTTCCCTTGAGGATTCTGTATCCCTGGCCTCCTTGAGGCTAGAGAATAGGCCATTGGAGGGCTCCCTCATTACTGATTGTCTCAATGCAGAGGAAGGGCAAAGTCTTGGTAGCTTTTGATAACCAGTTTCAGCATTCAGCAGGCTTAGCTATTAGTCATGCATCTTAGCCTTTCCCTATTTACTTTCAAAACACTTAATAAAAATAATAAAAGATTAGGTATAAAATGAAATATTTGTTTGGTACACAGCACCTCGGTATCTGCAGCTTCCACACACTGCAATGATTCAGTCTTCTGGGATATTTCTTGTTGATAGAACCATTTGAATTTGTTACCAGTATTAACATAGGGAGCTCTGGAAAAGATAATTGTAGTTTCCTTAGCTGTAAAAGGCTTACTTACAAATCTGGCTTTGGAAAGTTATAGCTGATGAAATGCAGTTCAGTGGGGTAGTATTATAATCCTACTTTTTAGCCTTCATCCAGCATTAGTGGTTTATCTCAATGAGCATAAAATTAGAAACTATTTCTTCTTGTCATACAACTTTGTGGGCCTGTACAAGCTGATGGGGCAGAATAGTAGGAGGAATAAAAGGCAGCATAGCTTTTGAAAAGATACCAATCACTAGGAGAACACATGAGGTTCATGCCATCTTGTATCATAGGTATCGAGAGTTTAAACCTTGCATTCCAAAGTTTTTCATTATGGACAATGGAACTTAAGAGTTGAGCTATTTAGAAAAAAAAAAAGCCCTTTCTTTCGGAAAGTTTCCAACTTTCTAAGTCTGCATTGTCTCAAATAAAATGCTTTCTAAATGTGTGATTTCACATTTATGAAATCAGGACTCTAAAAGCACGTATTGTTTTACTCTTAGAATGGCGCTGAAGATCTCCAGACTGAACGGTTACAAAAAGCAACAGAACGTTTTAAAAATCCTGTTGTGTTTAGCAAGGATTCTACAGTCAGAAAAACTCAACTTCAGTCTTTCAGTCAATATGTTGAGAATAGACCAGGTAGGAACACTTTGAAAAAATGTTTTCTCGTCTCATAATTTAACAATATTTAACAAAATGTATATACTAAAAACCTGTTAACATAAATCTCTAATTTCAGTATATAAATATCAAACTTTATAATAATATTACATGTCTTTCCTCTCTTTTAAGACATGAAAAGGCAGAGATCAATACAGGAAGATACAAAGAAAGGAAATGAGGAGAAGGCGGCGATAACTGAAACTCAGAGGAAGCCATCAGAAGATGAAGTGCTTAATGTATATTAATTTTTTGTGTGGTTTCATGATTGCTGATAATTCCAAACTGTATGTGGAAATAGTGCCTTTATTTGTTAAAATGAGATGTTAGGTTTTTTAAGATGTCAATCTCCAGTGCATTCAAAGCAGAGTGAGAGGGGTGCACTGTTGAATTAGTCTGCAGTGTGGTGATAATTGTCAGATAAAAAAAAATGAATTTTTCAGAGTTCCACAGCCCCAGCTTCCTTGAGACATTTCCATCAGGGCACTTCCCATAAAGAGATTCCAGTATTGATCTACCGGGAGGATTTTAATTATTACAATAGCAGATACCGCAGAGCTGCAGTTAGAGGGAAAAGTCACATGAGACCTGCTAGAATTTCTCAGCCAACCCATTTTGTTGGCTTGGGTTAATGGGTGTTCAACCTTTCCATTATCCAGATCAGCCGTGAATTACTAGCTGAATGATGTTTGCATTAATATAATATATATGGTAATTTCTTCACTTAATTAACGGGGAGGTTCAGCTCGGTAGGGGTATGGGCTGATCATGTGTAAAATTGATTTGTGAGGGAAATATTTGATAGACCGCAGGGAGAAAGCTGCTTTTGATGGACAGCTGCGGGACAGAAGCAGGAAGAACAAGTTCTAACTTGTATTTTTGTCTGGAAGCGTAGGTCTGTTTTAATGATGCTACTTTTTTTTTTATTAACTATAAATTTGCCTAAATATTTTCATTAATTTATGGTTAAAATCATCTTATTGTATTTTAAATTTCTTGTAATGCACTCACAGTCACCAGCTGTGTTTCAGAGCTCTAATAGTTTCTCATTTTAAGTTGTTCACTTCAGAACACTTGGAAAAGTCTTAGTCAAAAAAATAGTTCACAAGTATTTCCTGATGAACTATTTGGAAAAGCTTGTAAGTTGCAGAATACTTGAGTATACTGTGTAGTCACCCTAAAGAAAAGTGACAAGGAATTTGTTCCTATATTAAGAAAACTTCTGCCACCTTATCCATTTTGTCTTTGTAACCAAAACTATATTTGCTTTTTCTGTGGATGGGAGTGTGAGAAGGAAAAGTCCCTTTTGAAAATATTCTTCTGTTTAGCAGATAAATTCAAATAATATTTACTAGATTATTCCAGATTTTAAAGTTAATCTTAGCACTTATTTGGTTATTATAATTCCAGTGTTAATTTTGTAGAGAAATGGAAGAATATTTAATTTTTATGAATCTTTAAAAAAATGCAATGATATTTTTGGATCAGACTATCCTGAGAAATTTTCAGCTTTATTTGTTAAAGTATTTCAAGTTTAAACTTATTGACTGCCACTACCAATTTAACAGTAGGTTTGTATAAATTGAGTTCATATGTGGTTATAAATTAGTAGTTCAAAAGGCCTATAAATTATAGTAGATCACAAGAACTACAAAGCATACTCATAAATAACATAATTTTTGGTGTTTTCTGATTGGAAAGTAACAGAAGATAATTCCTCATAGCCTGTTAGATACTAACATGCCTGTAGAGAGGGAAAGGATTTGACGGAAGGAGGTTGTTCACATTTATTTCTCTGATTAGTATTGTATGTGCTGAAGATAGTAGCGTTGGTGAGGGCAATCACTTCAGCAGTTGTTCAATATTTCTCAGCTACTTAGGACTTGTAGTGCTAGAAATATGAAAAAAAGGGTTTCAAATGGAGGGCCGTAATTAATCCATTTTGGGGTCAGTACTACCAATAGTAACTCTAATTATTTAAATGTGTTACATGAAAATAAAAACTGAAGTTACACTGACACTTTATAATAGAACCATTATTTCTTCTAAACGTAAGTTTTTCTCAATAGAAATGATTATGAAAAGTAAAATTTCAAATTGAAATGCAAATTTAGCTAATTGGAAGATTAACCAGCTCAATAAACTAGTTGTATCAGATCCTTTGTAGTAAAGTTTGAAACCCCTTATCAGGTTAGAATTGCTGTATAATAAGTAGTGATACATCAACAGAATGACATGCTGAAGTCCAGGAGCCAGCTAGAGGGAAAAATGGAGATACGCAAACTTCCCTTTCATCATTTTTTTAAAATATTTTAAATAATATAGTCCCTAAGAAATCAACAATATCTTTTACATTTTGTATTCTTATAGAATAAATCTTTGGTTCTCTCAGGATGGATACTTTTAGAGGATCAATTCCAGTAAAATTCCATTTTTGCGATCACACTTTGAAATAAAGATGCCACTGGTGTTTTGATAATCACCAAAGGGAAAATCTTCTGCTCCCCCTTGTCCATGTTTAAGTAAATCTGACTTAACTCTAAGGAGAGACTTTTTAAACTCAGTGTCAACTTTTTAAACCTGGCAGATCTGCCTGTGAAATGATAAATATAATACTAAACAGCTGGAAGGTTCTCTGTTGACAAAAGTTTGGTATACATAATACATATGAAAAATTCCTGAATCACAGGGAGCTGCTTTTTGGTATTAAGGGAGATACTAAGGGTATATTTGGTTCTCTAGGTAAGTGGTTTACTAAGTGTTTGTAGAAAGAAAAAATGTAACTTACAAGTGATTTTTTTTTCCTTCCTGTTTGTTCTCGTTAACAGAAAGGGTTCAAAGACACCAGTCAGTATGTTGTAGGAGAATTGGCAGCACTAGAGAATGAGCAAAAGCAAATTGACACCCGTGCCGCGCTGGTGGAGAAGCGCCTTCGCTATCTCATGGACACAGGTACGGTGCCCAATTACACTGTAAACAGTTTTGGCAAATTGAGCGTTCACAAACTCTTATAGAGTTTTGGAAGTGTGAATCTTTGAAGCCTGAATGTTCAGCAAAACTGCCTTGAAAATAAAAAGGCTGCGATTTGCAGCCACCTCTCTGGGCCCTGGTGATAAGAGTGCCTTCATGGGAAGTGATAACTCGCCCTGATACCGTGTGAGCCAGCACTATTGAACAGTGTGCTCATCCATGCAGAGTTGGAATACACATCTGTGCCTCATTGATATGCCACTGCTTTTAAAAAAAAAGTAAGATCTTTACTGTTCTACTGATTCATTGGGGGGAAAAAAAAGATTTGGCCAGCTAAAGCCATGTACCGCATGAAACAGAGCACTATGCATAGGGGACGGCTCCATGGACTAGATCACTGAAATTTGAGAATACTATCTGGTTACTGATGCTCCACAATTTTTTTTCCTCAAGGGAACAGGTTTTTAAAAATCTGTAATACTTTGTGTCGCAGTTGCATTTGAAAGGATTAAGGTATATATAACAAGGCTTTTAAAAACTGGTTAATAACAAGTTAGCTTCTAGTCAGAAGGTAGATTGTTATTTGGTGCTGATTACCAACGCTGATTGAACAGATCTAAGAGCACAATATGCTATTGGAAAAGTGTGTGTGTACATGTGTGTCTTTTAAATGGTACTTTTTAAAAAGGACAAAAATGGGAAATATTTTCAAATAATTTGTACCAACTTGAAAGCTATATTAAGAAGAAATGTTAAAAAAAATCAGAAGTCCATTCACCTGGTCAAATTGCTTTAATTTTATGACAGTGTTAAAATATAATTGAACAGTATGATTTAAGATTGGAAACCTTCTCTGAAGTCCTCTGTTTTCCAAAATTATACTCACAATTGAAGAGCTCCAAAATTAAGTATTTTATGGGTCATTTTGAGAATGCATCTACCAATGAAATCAAAATATATTAGAACAGATAAGAAGTTGGACTTTATCTGGCCCAGAGAGTTTCATAAGGTTTCTTACGGAGCCAAAAAGCTTTTTCAGAGACATCTCAGGGATTGCCCGGATATTAAGGGAACAGAAAGTAAATGGACATCTAGCATTCTTATCTTACTCAAATAGAGAGGTTCTAAATGTATTTATTTGAAAGAGGCTTGTTTGAATAGTTTGAAGAAAAAGTAAAATTAAGACAAAAAAAGACTGTTAAAAACAAAGAAGCTATTACCCAGTCCTCTCATTGTACAGACAAACAGATGGAGGCAAGGAGGAATGGCTAAGGTGACACAGATCACTGAGTGGTAGAGCTTGGACTAAGTTCGGGTCTCTAGAACTGTTACCACACAGGGCCCTTCCTACTGTACCAGATTACCTAGACCATTATTACTATTCCCTTGACAAGTTACAATGTATGCCAAGCTTTATACATATAGAGCTGTATGGATTCAGCATGGACCCATAAGCTAATACACTGTTTTTTGTTTTTTAAAAAAAGATTTATTTATTTGAAGGACAGAGCAAAAGGGATAATAACAGAGCAAAAGGGATAATAACAGAGCAAAAGGGAGAGACACAGGAACCTATCCACTGGTTCACTCTCCAGATGGCCATAGTGGTTGGGGCTGGTCCAGGCCAAGTACAGGAACCCAGAGCACCATCCATATCCTCCACATGGATGACAGAGACTGAAGCACTCGTGCCATTTTCCAATACCTTCTTAAGCATATTCATGGGGTCAGAAATGGAGCATCCAGGACACAAACCTACCACCCTCTGATATGGGAGGCTGGCATTGCAAATAGTGGCTTAACCCAATGTGCCACAACACCACTCCAAAATTAATGTAAAATTTTAAATATGAATTTAAACATTTTTAAATTATTTATTTTAAGTATTTTGCAAAGACTTTTTAATCTCTTCTTAAGCAATTGGAAATGGATCGATCATCTTACCTGACTATACTGGTTAAGTTAGATATTACTATACAGGAAATCTTAAACCACTAGAAAAGAAGCTAAAAATTCTGATTCCTCCTTTCATTTAGACAAGGGGTCTAATTTGTTGAGGATTTTTTTTTAAGATTCATTTATTTTTATTGGAAAATCAGACTTACAGAGAGAAGGAGAGACAGATCTTCCATCTGCTGGTTCACTCCCCAAGTAGCCAAAGTGGCCAGAGCTGAGCCAATCTAAAACCAGGATCCAGAAGCTTTTTGTAGGCCTACCACACAGGTGCAGGATCCCAAGACTTTGGGCCATCCTCTGCTGCCTTCCCAGGCCACAAGCAGGGAGCTGGATGGGAAGTGGAACAGCTGGGACACGAACCGGCGTTATCTGGGATCCCTGGGGTTGTAAGATGAGGATCTAACCACTAGGCTGTTGTGCTGGGTTCCTGTTGAGGGTTTTAAACAGGGTAGACTTGAGTTCTCCTTCCTTCTCCACATTTCATTAGTGAAGCCTTGAAACACTAAATTTTATCTGAAGATAGTTTATGATCTAAAACTTAGTCAGACACTGCAAATTTATCCTAGAATCTCTTTGGGGCTTATTGTATTTTTTACTCCCTAGCACGGAATTTGATTATGATTGAATCTGTACTATAGATTTAGACTAAATCTAATTTGGTCTTGCAATTTGATAAACTCAGAGAGTCAACTTGAATGAGTTCGACCCTCTTCCCATATAAGTACTATTTGCAGACTTACCTCAAAACGAGTTTATATCTGAAAGTACAAAGTAAGGTGCTAAAAACTCTGAAGAATATATTAATCCATTCCATTTCTGTATTCCTGTATATTCCAATTCTTCATTTAATATTCTAGTACCTTTTTTCTAGCATGTACGAAATTTCAGCTACCTTCTGAGTCTCAGCCAGAGAGTATCCATATTCATTACACGACAGAACTGAGACTCATAGGGGATATGATAGGGGAAATGACTCACTTAAGTTGACCCTATTAGGTAATGGCAGAATTAGGTCTTGAATTCAGGCTTTTTGATTTTCCTGGCTCTTAATTCATTTTGCTTGCCTTTTTCTTTTTTTGAGATTTGTTTGTTTATATATTTGAAAAGGAGAGTTACAGAGAGAGGACAGACAAATCTTCCATCCGCTAGTTCACTTCTCAAATGGCCACAATGTCTGAAGCCTGGAGCTTTTTCCAGGTCTCCCAGGTGGGTGCATGCAGGAGCCCAGACTTGGGCCATTCTGCACTTCCTTTCCAGGTCATTAGTTAGGGAGCTGCATCAGAAATGAAGTCTCTAGGACTCCTTATGCAATGCTGGAGCCAGAGGTGGAAGTCCCCCACCATATATCTATTTTATATATAACAGACACACTTCTTTCAATTGTTTCAGTTTAAAAAAAAAAAACCCTGACATGCTGGCACAAGGCTCTAGCAAGAGAATAGGAAAAGAATACACAAAAGTACTTCACAATTTTTATAGAGTAAGTTGAGCAGAAATAAATGGCACGATGCCTTGAACGCACCAATATCCCATATGGGCGCCGGTTCTAATCCCAGCAGCTCCACTTCCCATCCTGCTCTCTGCTTGTGGCCTGGGAAAGCAGTTGAGGACTGCCCAAAGTCTAGGGACTCTGTACCACATGGGAGACCTGGAAGAAGCTCCTGGCTCCTGGCTTCAGATCAGCATAGCACCGGCCGTTGCGGTCACCTAGGGAGTGAATCATTGGACGGACGGAAGATGTTCCTCTCTGTCTCTCCTCCTCTCTATATATTTAACTTTGCAATAAAAATAAAATAAATCTCTTTTAAAAAAAAATCCCAGCTTAGAATACCTGTATCCTAGGCTTTCTGCTGCCAACCTATGATTCCTGCTAATGCAAACCTTGAGAGGCACCACATGATTTTTCAAGTACTTGATTCCCTACAACCTACGTGGGAGAACCAGAGTTCTAGACTCCTGTCTTTAGACCTGGCCCAGCCCTGGCTGTCATGGAAATTTGGCAAATGAACCAGTTGATAGACAGTCTCTTTCTCTTTTTGTCTCTTTCAAATTAAATGAAAATGAATTACTTTTTTAAATTGTAGAAAGATTACATTAAAAGATAAGCTTGTTTTGTTTTGTTGAAATTCATGTGTGGTTTTTATAATACATATTTTCTGAGAAGTTTTATTCAGTGTCTGTTTGTTTGTTTGTTTGTTTGAGATTCAGCGAGAGAGGTTAGTGTTCCTTTCAGTTGGTTCACTCTTCAAATACCTACCAAAATCTGGGGATAGTTCCAGGCTGTAGTCAGGACCTGAAAGCTGAGAGGTCAGTCCAGCTCAATGTCATATGGATGTCAGGAATCTGATTACTTGTGTCGTCACTGCTAGGGTCTGTGATAGCAGGAAGCTAGAGTCAGGAACTACCAGCTGAATATTGAAGCCAGGTTCTCCTCTGTGGGACATAAGCATCTTAACCTCTAGGCTAACTGCCCTTTCATCTAGAACTTGTTGAAAAGAGAGTCTTAATAGGTAATGCAACAAGTTGGAGACATGCCAGGGGAGCTGCATAAGGTATAAATAAGGTTGGGATTTTTACATCTGCTTCCCTCTAAAATTGTTGAACAATGCTGATTCAGTGATAGTCTGAACTCAAAAGGCAAAATGATGGGGGTGGGAGTTGGGAGCCAGGAGTAAGTAGAGGGAGACAGGGAGAGATGTTTCATCCAATTTGGTTCTCCTCAAATGGCTACAGTGGCTAGGGATGGGCCAGGCTAAATCCAGTAGCCAGGGGCCAAGAGCCACAAGCTTCTTCCAGCTCTCCCACATAGGTACAAAAGTCCAAATCATTTAGACCATCCTCTTCTGTTTTCTCAGACCTGCTAGCAAGAAGCTAGATTGAAAGCAGAGCAGCCAGGACTTGAACCAACACCCGTATGGTATGCCAGCATTTATAGATGACAGCTAACCCACTACACTACAATACAAGCTCAGTTTTATTTTCTGTCATTCTGCATTGAGACCTGTAAGATCCTTAGGCAAATATTG